CGGCGAGGCGCGGACGCTCGAGCGCCTCCTCAGCCGGACCCTCGAGCGCCTCCTCAGCCGGACCCGCCGTCTGTGCCGCTGCGGCCCTTCGCTCCCGCGCCCCGCCGTCGGGTCCCGCCCCCTCCAGGCGGACCAATGGGGGCCCGGGGCGGGGCCAGGCCCGCGGAAGCCACGCCCCCGGGAAGCGGCTCTGAGATGTGGTTGGCGTCGCAGGTGGTGGCTACTCCGAGATGCGACCCGCTGGTGGGTGATGCGCGGGTCGGGCGAGGGGGTCCGCAGCCCAGTCCTCAGGGTCTTCAGGGTCGTCCTGCGCTCCACTCCCAGCCGCTGGCCGCGCCGTCGGGCAGGCTCCGGGCCTCGGCCTAGGGACCCCAGGGCAGCGGCGCCGTCCGGGGAAATCAGGAACCTGCGCTCCCGCGGGGCGTGTCCGAGCGCCCTCGCCCTGGCGGGGATCCTGAGTCTCGGTCCGGCCAGCGGAGTGACCCGGCAGCCCCGCCTTGGTGCGCGGAGTGTCGCCCCACAACCCGAAATGCCTCAGTCGGGTCTAGAGGTAGAGGGGCCCCGCGAGTGCCGACCATGCCCGGAGAGTGGGGCGCATTCCTCTGCCAGCAGCAGCCAGGCCCGGGGTCCCCGCCACCGCAGCTCCTCGCTGGCTTCTCGACGCCTTCCCCGCTGTCCCCTTGCGCCGCTGTTGGGGGCTTCTCCTTTCCGGACGCCGCTCAGTCGCTGCTCCCGGCGCGCCCACCCACCTGGCCCCCGCGTGCTCCCGGGCAGCGCCCAGGTGGGCCACCCCAGCTGCTCCAGCGGCTGCGCGGTCACCGCCAGCTCTCGCTGTGCGCCCCGCGGACCCGGTGCCGATTCAGCCGTGCGCGGGAAACGCGCATCTGCCTCCAGCCAGGCCAAGGAGCTCTGGGGCCCTTCCGGAGGGTCTGGGAACCGCCTTTGCGCATCTAAATTGTCACGGCCCTCAGCGGCTTGCAAGGGAAGGCTCCTCAGGGAGACTCCTCGACCGACTAGTTCCCTTTCGCACAGCCTGCTCTTCCCTAGGCGCTCTCTCACTGCATTTATTCATTTATGCTTAAGGCGCTGCGCTGGAAGCCTAGGAAGTGACACCTAGACCGAGCTGGGAAGACTAGAAGGAATTGGCCTGGGATGACTGGAAAGGTCAGTGGGAGGAGAGTGTTCCAGGCAGAGGAAATAGCTTGTGTCAAGGCCCTGAGATCTGAGGGAGTGTAACAATGGCAGGTAACAAATAGCACTTACCATGTGTCAGGCATGTTCTCTATCAGGTTTTTCAGGCACACGCGTTGTTATAGGGTAGACACCATTTAAATCCCCTGTTAACAGATGCGGAGACTGAGGCACAGAGAGGTTAAGGGACTTCCCCCATCACACACAACAGTGGAGCTGGGCTGGGGCAGGTGCTCATGTGCAGGTGAGCTGTTCAGTGTGTGTGTGTGTGGGGGGGCAAATGGTGAGGCTGAGAGTGAGGATGAAGCTGGAGGGGCTGGCAAGGGACAGACCACAAAGGGCCTTGCAGGGAGGCTAGATGAGGACTCTGGACACCAGATGGTTATGGTGTCTGTCAGGATTAAACCTCTCAGGTCTGTCCTGGTGGTGCAAGCAGTTAAGTGCCCGCACTCCACTGCGGTGGCCTGGGGTTCGCTGTTTTGGATCCCGGGCGCGCACCGACGCACTGCTTGGTAAGCCATGCTGTGGCGGTGTCCCATATAAAGTGGAGGAAGATGGGCATGGATGTTAGCCCAGGGCCAGTCTTCCTTAGCAAAAAAAGAGGAGGATTGGGGGATGTTAGCACAGGGCTGATCTCCTCACACACACACACACAAAAAGATTAAACCTCAAAATAAATGTATGATGTCCGCTAAAGTTCACATTTTCCCATGATCATTCAAACTTTTAAAAAATATCAGAACAAATCTAAACAATCATTTGCTGCTGTCTTAAGTCTGTACCTAGTCTGCCTTGTACCCAACAGGTCAATTTCCACACTGCTTGTAAACCTGGATAAGGATGCTGCAGCTTAGCCATTGAATGTGCCCAGGGCAAGACCAGATGCAGAGGGGACTATGGATTGGAGGGAGGGGGACTGGAGTCAGGAGCCACAGTTGGAGGCATGTACAGTAATGGGAGGGGTAGCAGGGAGGATGACGACAATGATCCTCTAATGATGATGAGGTGGAGGGCAGAGGAGAAAGCTATTTAAGAGGCTGAATCCACAGGGCTTGGTGACTGCATATAAAGGCAGGGAGCAGAGTCAAGGAGGTGTCCTTGAGTATCAAGCTCGGTCAGGGTCTCTGAATCTCCTGGCCCTTTCCCTGTCCTCTATGCCCCTGGGCATTCCTCTGCACTCCCCTTTGAGTCCACTCATCATTTGAGGCCTCAGATCTAGCCTGTAATTCTCAGAGTGTGTATTGTGCAACGCTGGGCTCCCAGCTAGACTGCAAGTAGCCCTGTGCTGAGCTGATTCTTGTAATAGCAGAAATTATTTATCTCAATTTAGGATGAGCGGAGAGAGCTGTGTTCTTTAAACAACGGGCCTCACATTCCCATAAACCTAAACATCGGGTTTTAGCCATTCCAAAGGGCATCACTGCACAATTCAATTCAGCAATAGCCCTCATGGGCTGCTCTCTGCTGTAGCCAACCAGCTCCCTGCCCCCAAGTGGCCCCTACTTTAACAGGGGTGACAGTCAGGTGAACCTATAGTCATTTCCAAAGGCAGACTTTATTCTGCCTTTGGAAAAGCCTGATAAAATAAACAGGCTTTTCTTTGGCTGAGGGGCCAGCAAAGTGCCTGAAAGGGAAGGGGAAGGGAGAGGCAGGCGATGTGTGGGTAGAATCCTAGAACTCCAGAACTGGAAGGGAACTGAGGTGGGGAAGGTTTCTTGGAGAAAGTGGTGTCAAACAAGGGCTTCCCCCAGCCACCTGGCAATGCTGTGACCTTGGGCAGGTTACTTAACCTCTCTCAGGCTCAGTTTCTCATCTATAAATGGGGCTCACAATTGTAGGATTGTGATGGGGATTAAATGAGCATGTATACAGAGCACTTAGCAGGGTGACTGGCATATAGTAAGCAGTCATTAATATTAGCTATTGTCATTCAAGGCCTCAGGAACTCACATTCATCCTCTACCCAAGCAGACACCAAATTTGCATTACTTGTTTAGCACTTGTTTCACAGAACTGCAATTTTATTTTAACCCTTTTTCTGGCATCCCTGTATTTCCCACATGGTCTTGCATACAGTTGTTTGTTGAATGCGAATATACTTTCTGCAGATTCCACTACTAGCTGAGATTTGTCTTCAAGACAGAGAAAACCTGAATTACTTGGTAAGAAAAACAAGTGACCATAGTCCAGACTCTGAAAAGATGGAGGTAAAGCTGTTTTCAGCATGCTTCTGTACCCAGGAGGCTTAGAGGGGGAAGCAAATTTGGGTAACAACACTATATTACATGAAGTTCTGGCATTTTGAAGTTACTAATTCCATGGAGAATAAACACTTCCTTTGGGATCAGGCTGCAGATTCCTTTTAATCTGGATATTTGGCCTCAAACAGCTTTGGCAAACGTGCGTCCATCTTACCAACTTCCCGTATCACAAGAGGAGTATGGCCTAATGATCAAGAACACAGGCAGCTGAGTTGCAACCCTCTTACCTCTCAAGTTCTCTAGTTATTTCCTAGTCTAATTCCTGTTGTTAGAATTAGTTAATATTTGGCTGTTCTAATTATCATAAAGCCAACTACGGGCTGGGGGAAATAGAACTGCCAGATTTGAATAGGGAGTCAAGGACTAGATTTAAGGTCCACTTTTCCATTTATTCATTCTGTGATCTCAGGCAAATCACTTTCTCATCCTCTTTCTCATTCTAATTTCTCCATCTGTAAAATAAAGGAGCTAGATTTGATGACCAATTCTGCTTCCACCTCTGAAATTTTATTCTATCATTTAACCAGAAATTTCAGCGCACTTTGGGAAATTGGCCCCATTCTCTCAAACCCTAGGATCTCTGTGATTTCTAATAATCTTCTTACATATTGGTATTTGTTTAATCACATAAGTGGGGCAGATACCCTACAGACTTATGTTAACAATAGCCTGATTATTTCTTTGTTCCATTGTTAAATAAAATTAATGAGGATAAAATAAACAAGAAAAAAATCTATTAATGAGCTCCATAATTTATCCATCAAGATATTCTGATTTGAATAATGCAGTAAAGTACCTAAAACACAATCATACCCCAGCATAACATGTTATATATAAGGTAATGGTTGAGAAGAAAATCAGGAAATACAAAATATTTGTTACTGCAAGCAATTTTAATACAAAAGTGTGTCTTGTTTTTAAACAGTTCATTGGTAGAGCTTTACTTTCTGCCTCAATTAAAACCAATTGAGATAATCACACAGCAACATGGTCGGAGCTGAAGAGGAACAGCAGCTAAAAAACAGGAGCCCCAGACAGCCCCTCTTCATGGTCACTTGGTCAGTTGACTTTATTACACACAAAAAAAGACAGAAGCAAACGGGACTTGTTAACAAGTGTGCTGGTGAACTCCTTTAAAGGACAAGCAAGTGTTTATGTCCACATTTTCAGAATAGGCTCGTGGAATTCATTCCTCAGTTTGTGGGAACTTGATCGACCATTTAAATAAATAGCAAAAAATGCAGATAAACAAATCTATAATTCACAATACCACCAAGGAGTCTCCCCTTGCCAAGGGCCTGGGTCCTGGTGAGCACAGGAGTAATTGGTGGCTGGGCTGGATAGGAAGTTATAAACCAGGACTCTTAAAACCTCCAATGGTCTGACATTTTCTGAACAGTTACATTTACCCCTGAATTCTAGCAGCTATTTGTCCCTTAAACACCCAGTTCTGAAACAGTATTCAAAGATAGTATTGCAATGAACTCCTTTTGCTGTATCATGTGCAAATGTTACCTAGGAGAGCTTCCCTCCCTTCAGCTAAAATCACACAACGTTAAAAAAATGGACAAAGCAATTGGAAGTGCCCTCCCCTCAGTTCTTGCTAATTGAGGTGTCTGTGATTTACAAAAAAAGAGTTCCTTAAACACTGCAGGATTCTTATTTTTTTAATATAATTTATCTTGCTGAGACAGCAAGTCAAGTTTATAAAGAAGATGCATTTAGGAATAATCCTAAAAGATAAAGCAGGTTTACAACCCTGCACGGCGCAGAAACCCTATTTAGAGGCTTTTCTTTTCTTCTTCTTTTTTTTTTTAAATACACATTCGCATCTTGACCTTTTCACTTGTTTTTCTCAAATATTTAGTTTCTGGGCCCTATCCATTACAGGGTTACCAGGAGGCAAATTTTATCTACATAAATATTCACATGAAAATAGTAACTTACAAAAAGAAAAAAAATAAGGCAGCTTCATAACACAATTATTCTTTTACACTTTTAACAATATAACTTCTCCCGTTCAGAATAAATATACACCCGATGTATGGAGCAGGATTCAAAGTGGATAGAGGCTTGGGGGTGCTTGTACAGTGTTATCGCTTGGGACCCGGAGTCCTGGGGGAGGCAGTGGTGGTCTTCTTAGACATGGTTGGGATTTTGGAGGGCTTGTTTAGCCCTCTCCTGGAGTTGCCCTGGCCCCCTGCGGCGCTGCTTTCTGAAGTGTCTGAGCAAGCAGACTGCGTCTCTAAAAGGTCAAAGTCAGAGGCATCGCTTCCTCGTCGGCTGCTGGCTCGACTCCCGGCCCGACTCCCGGCCCGACTCCCAGGGCGACTGGCTGACTTTTTAGGGTCTGGAATTCAAGAATAAAGCAGCAGACTTAACAGAGTGGCATGGGGGGACGGGGAGGGAGGGAGAACAAGTGACTAGAGGCCAGGGTTCTGATCCTAATACCACCTGATATGCTGTGTGACCTTGGGCAAACCAGAGCCTTTCTAGACCCTGGTCGTCTCATCTACACAGAAGTTGCTGAAACCTCTTCTGCTTTATGATTCTACTTGAGAAGCTTCCCTGTGAGGACTAGAAACCAGCTTTTATCAGTGGCATTGTTACCTCATATGCCCCCACAGTGGAATTGAGCAAGGCTGCTCGATCGCCTCAGCACAGATGAGAGCCTGCCAGCTGGGGTAACGCATAAGCAGACTGAGAATGGGGGCAAAGTGATGGGAAACAGAGAGCCAGGAAATGAAGCCAAATTCCTAGGTTCCCACAAGGAACATCAACAGGTGAACAGATGCCATCTTTCCCTGACTTTCTTGGCTCACCAGCAGCAATAATAAATATGGGGTGTTAGAAAAATTAATAGCAAATGGCCAGGCCCAACACTGGACTTCTGAGGAAGGCCCTGCTTCAGGAGGCCTTTCTTCCTTTTACATTCTCTCAAATATGATCATTTTTGAGAGAGAACAGGTAGTCCAGCTTTGGCTGTGGAAGCATCTGCTCTCAGAAGGCAAGGTTAGAGCTAGTTGTAGTGACAGGAGAAAAAGTCAAGCAGGTCTGTCTTTCAGGGCACCACTCCTAAGTGCTATTCTCATTATTTGCCCCTGGGGGAGCAGTGAAGCATTGCTGAGAGGCTGCTGTTTCCAATTCCTAGCCTGGTCATTCCCCTCAGCCCCTATGCCAGTGCACAGGTACTAGGGCAGGCACTCACCTGCTCGATTGGTTTTGGCACCTGTGGAGGCTGGGGAAGAACTATTGCTAGTATCACCAGCGAGGGATGTTCGACTAGAATGAAAAGTTGGTGTTGGTCGTTTCAACTTGCTGCCTGTTGATGGAATAACCTTAAAAGAATAAAAGGTCATATTTACTTGGTGAAATCTTTGATAGAAATTCAATTTTAAAATTTGATTTTAAAATTCAATTTTAAGCCTCGTTATGTCTAATTGATTGAAAAGCAAATTAAAAGTCCAGGAAAACAAAGATTTATTTTGAAAGTGTCCTAGGTCATGTATTTTGATGATTCCCAAAATAATGTTTTCATGTTCATTTAAAATTTCAAAATGTCTTCCAATACCTTCTATTTTACCAACAAATTTCAACTAGAATGGGAAAAAAACCCCTCGAATAGTAAGATTATAATAGTTATAACAAACAGAAATATGAGGAATGAGTAAAGGAAAAAAACCCAAATAATCCCAGGTATCAAAGTTTTGGGGCTAGACATCGAAATACGAGTTCTAGCCCCAAATATTTAATATGGAAATGCAAATATTACTCCAGTCTCTATCACGGGGTAGGTGCAGTAACTTCAGTCAGGTTAAGATCATCAGTCTATTTCCTCATTGGTAAATGCAGCTACAATTACCTGACTTGTGGATCAAATAAATGATTAGAAGTACACAAGAGTGGGACTGTGGTATTAGGCACAAGGCTCTGACTGAGGAGCCAGGAGACCTGGGCTTGGGTCTGGGCCCTGCGATTTATCTAAATTAACACCTGTGTCTTTACTTCTTCCTCAGGAAAGCAGGGATAGATCCTGCCTGACTTCATTTCTGCCACCCTCCCTCTCCTTCAATCCATCCAGCCACATTGGCCTCCTGTTCCTCAATCAGCCCTGGGAGGCTCCCTGTTTGTTGTCTGTCTCTCCTGCATTGAAGAGTAAACTCCATAAAAGCAGGACTTTGTTTTGTTCACTGTCATACCCTCACCACCTAAAATAGTGTCTGGCACAGAAAAGGGGCTCAGTAAAAAGTTGTTGAATGAATAAGTCACATGCAGAAGCACTTCCTAGACTGGAAAAGAGCTGGGTGGATGTTATTATCAGTGCTACCGGTAGGAGCTACATTTCCTATTTGAGTGGCTTTTTGAAGACAGTGGTAGACTTAATTTGGAGAAAGAATTTTTGGTCTGTTTTAAACATCATTCATGCCATGGTAGGCTCTTCTAATTTTTCTTTGAAATCAACTGTGTAAATTGTTTTCCAGGACCTTTAAGATGTTTATACAAATAGAAGAATAAAGCAACCCATTTCATGGTGTTTCTTGTGCTTCTTTAATTTATAAAGAAAAAGCAAAAGCGACAGAAAGTGATTCACATTCAAGCACAAACCCTCCTGGCCCACACAGGAGGAAGAGCACCAGTTTCAGAAGCTATCGTGAGCACTGCTGCTGGGGAGACCGCAGCCCCGGAGACCCTGGGCTGTAGTCCACGTCAGGACACGGCCTGTAGAACACCAATAGGTAAGGAAAGATGAAACCTCAAAACAAAACAAAACAAAAGGTAAAACTCTAAGACAAAACAAACAAGCTGATGTATCAGAATCCTATGAGAATTTGTTCTTCATAATTAAAACACTTAAAATTTTAGAACTTCTGAGACTTTCATGAAACTGTAGCCCTTAAAGGAAGAGGAAAATCAAGACAAGCAGGTTGAGCCTTGGGGTTTTAGTGGCAGTAGGTCCCCAGATCATGTTCTAAACCAGATATATTTCTGAACTGGAGTTTTAGCTTGGAGTGGGATGAATCCCAAAGCAACAGTCCATTCAAAGGCATTGGCTTCTTGTACCTCCTGCTTTCTCTGGCTGAAGCTTTACATGACTGAAGGCAATGCTACCTTTTGAGGCATAAGAATCCAATGTTCCCCAGCAGGAGCTAGAATGCAAATTGTACTGCTATTGACAAGCCACTGGCCCATGTTTTGTTTCTGAAACACTGCTCTTCCAAAAGTGCTTGGGCATTTTAATGACTGCACTTGAACATGCTTAACTGCTAGCATGTGTATTCCAATCAAGGCTACAGACACCCAAGTGCCTAGGCCAAGAGATTCAGAAGCTAAAATCTGAGACCAGAGCAGTGTTCACTGATACTGTGCTTGGCCGGAGTAGGCAGCACCCACACCTTGGACCAGTGTGGAGATACCAACCACCCCTCAGATGTGGCTCAGGGCAGGGAGTGTCAGCCACTCTTCTGTTCTAAGCAAAGATAGAAGACTGCTGAACATGCACCATAGTTGAATTTCAAGTGTTCATAACTCGTCTGTGTATCTGACATTTGGAGACTCCAAGAAGCCTGATTATAAACAATATCAATAAAAAAATCACCAAGAATGACCATTGTTTATCACTCTGAACAAATGTCATTCTAAAGACTGTTAGAAAGTTATTAAACAATCCAGTTCTAGGCATCTCTTATTTCTCTCCAATTTTGGTGAATCCGAGTTAGAAACCCCTGAAAAACACTTGACTAGATGAATTAGCTGTGAGAGCAAGCACCACAAAGATGGATAAGAGCATGGATTTGTGTCAGGAAGAATAGCTGGTCAAGTTCTTGGCATTAGCGAGGGCCTCGCCTTGACTGTGTCCTTAGCAAAGCCATACTCTACCTCGGGGCTGAGCAGCTGGAGGTCAGGATAATGGCTGTCCCTGATAGGGATGCCAGCTTTACTGTTTACCAACCAGGGTTTGTCATAACAGCGAGAGAACTGAAGTGGAGTCTGTGAAATGGAAATCCAAAGGGAAGGATGGGAACAATTGAAAATGGAACAGAAAGGGAGCAAATTTGGAACATAAAAAATAAATAGAAGTCACTGACTTTTAAAGAAACACAAAACAAAATAAAATAAGCCTCAGTCCAACAGGAGGAAAGGGACCAGGCTAAAAGGCAATAGCATTCTTCATACATCACCCATCATAACAGCAAACTTATCTGTTGGCTCCAGCTGCAGAGGTAGTGCCCGGATTTCCAAAATCAGTAACTCTGGATGGGCTCAAACTCAAACTGGGAATATGTGGAAAGAAGCGTTTCTGACTTTACGACCTGAGTTCATATTTTAATAAATGTCCTCTGTAGTCATCTTAAAGGTCCTGTATCTGTGTACCACTAGGGCCTGGTCAGCCTTGTCTAGGCAGAGCTGAGTCTGTATGTCTTTATGTTCCTCTCCTCACTGGAGTCTTTCAGAGGCTACACTGAACAATGAATATCTACAAAGATGGGACGGGGAAGAAGGCCATAATGGAGCTCAATACGTACCTTGGTACCACTGGCTGGGGTGGCTGGAGAAGATGGCATGGACGTACAGCTGTGGTTACTCTGACTAGCACTTGAGCTGGAGCGAGTAGGGGAGGCTGCCCGGGAAGATGGTTTGGACCTTCGACCTCGTGATCGGAAAGGGGTCATCCCCTGGGATGCCCCTTCAGGTAGGATGAATTTCTCTCTAAGTTCAATGTTAGTTCTACCTCGTGCTAAAAAGGGAATAACCACACATATAGATAATGTCAGTTAATCTTAAAAAAATATCATCTTTGATGGTCATACAGCTGCTTGACCCCATGATAACAGTTATATAAGTTATAGGGTTAGTACCATCTGTGGATTCTTTTAAAATAGAGATAAACTCATGATCTATCAGCCTTGTCATGATTCTTACCCACTGCAGACACATTATCTAATAAGCCCTTTGGTTTGCTAGAATATAGAAGTTTTTGTATACAAAGTACCATCCCATTCTGTTGTTATAATCTTGCCTTGCCACTGTCCCCTGGGGTAAGCACACTGTAGCTGGTCAAACAAAAGCAGATGCAGCAGTTTAGAAACCTGAGGTTAAATCAAAACCCTTCTTTTCTCTCTCATAGTACATGTGTACTGTTGCTCAACTTTTGCAGGATATGTGGTAATGAAATAGTGGAGAAAAACAGATCACTGAAATCGACTTTGTCTAGACTCTTCTATTTGAATTTAATCCATAACAATCCTAAAGAAAGGGGTCCAGGAACTCAATATAGTAAAAAGATCAGGATAGAATCACTAAGAAGTAAACATGTGGGAGGAGAGAGAGAGAAAGATCAAGACCATGCACAAAACTTGCCAGTGAGAAACTGTAAAGTCAAAAACTGAAAGCGATGAGAAGCTGAAAGGCAGACTGCAAGTGGGAGAGGAACGTCAATGTGGAAAGATTCTGGAAATAGGACTGAAGGCCAATAGGTGCTGTCCTGTGGCTTTCTGGAGCTGTAAGACCAGAACTTAAAATATGGATTCACTCAGAAGATACCAAGTACAGCCAACACAAATGTTAAATGTGAAAGATACTACTAATTTAAGAGAAATAATTCCTCTGGAATATGTTCTTAGATTCTTTCTTTTTTTTTTTTTAATTTTATTTATTTATTTATTTATTTTCCCCCAAAGCCCCAGTAGATAGTTGCATGTCATAGCTGCACATCCTTCTAGTTGCTGCATGTGGGACGCGGCCTCAGCATGGCCAGAGAAGCAGTGCGTCGGTGCGTGCCCGGGATCCGAACCCGGGCCTCCAGCAGCGGAGCGTGCGCACTTAACCACTAAGCCATGGGGCCGGCCCTAAGGAAAGAAACTCCTTTTTTTGTTTTTTTGTGAGGAAGATCAGCCCTATGCTAACATCTGCCAATCCTCCTCTTTTTTTGCTGAGGAAGACTGGCCCTGGGCTAACATCCATGCCCATCTTGCTCCACTTTATATGGGACGCCGCCACAGCATGGCTTGCCAAGCAGTGTGTCGGTGCCCGCCCGGGATCCGAACCTGCGAACCCTGGGCCGCCGCAGCAGAGCATGCCCACTTAACCGCTTGCGCCACCGGGCCGGCCCCTATAAAGGCTCTTTTTTTTTTTTTTTTTTGAGGAAGATCAGCCCTGAGCTAACATCCATGCTAATCCTCCTCTTTTTGCTGAGGAAGACCAGCTCTGAGCTAACAGCTATTGCCAATCCTCCTCCCTTTTTTTGTTTTTACCCCCAAAGCCCCAGTAGATAGTTGCATGTCATAGTTGCACATCCTCCTAGTTGCTGTATGTGGGGCGCGGCCTCAGCATGGCCGGAGAAGCAGTGCGCCAGTGCGCGCCCGGGATCCGAACCCGGGCAGCCAGTAGCGGAGCACGCGCACTTAACCACTAAGCCACAGGGCCGGCCCTAGATTATTTCTCACTGAAAGGTGTTATCCTGCAATAACCTTCTACCTCCTCATCCATCCTAAACTGTTCACTTTTTAGAATGTACTAGGTAAATCTAAAAAAATGGCACTGCTCGCGAAGCCCAGGGGAAGTGAACCATTATAAACAAAATATTTGTTGTTCTTTTCTATTTTAGATTTTTTATTTTAACCAGAAATTACAAGTGTAGAGGATTTCAGGTAATTGTGCCCACTCTCTCTTCTGCCCAACCCAACACGTCCTCAAGAAATTTGAGGAATCTTGGTAGAATCAGATTTTAAATTAGGTTGCATGAGTGTCCAAGCAGAATGGTTCCAAATTCCTAATCAAATCCAAGTTCTTCTCAACATATTATGTTGACATAACAAAGTATCAAGTTAAAGGGCTAACTTGGATATCAAAACCTGTGAGTTACAGGGGCCGGCCAGGTGGTGCAAGCAGTTAAGTGCGCGTGACCCGCTGTGGTGGCCCGGGGTTTGCCAGTTTGGATCCTGGGCATGCACCGACGCACCACTTCTCAAGCCATGCTGTGGTGGCGTCCCATATAAAGTGGAGGAAGATGGGCATGGATGTTAGTCCAGGGCCAGGCTTCCTCAGCAAAAAAAGAGGAGGATTGGCAGACGTTAGCTCAGGGCCGATATTCCTCATTAAAAAAAAAAAACATAAAAAACCCTGTGAGTTACAGTCCAGGCTCTGCCACCAACTGGGTCTTCCTGCTCTGAGCCCCAGTTTCCTCGGGCTCACTAGAGGTGACCAGATTGACTGATCTCTCAGAGTCCTTCTTGTCCAGGTGGTCTATGATTCAATGGTCCCTGGAATGCTAAACTGTTTCCTTCCTCCTCAGGCGGGCCCCAACAGAACTTGCCCCTCAAGGTCATTCCTTGGCTTCTACTTATACATTTTCTGGACTTCAGCACTTCCACTGTGTCTACACAAATGATTCTTAGAGAATTTCCTTCAGCACTAATTTGGGTGTTTCAGTAAGACTTCACATCACAAAAAACTATGGAATCAGGACTTATACTTATTTATCTTGTGTTTCCTAAAGTGCCCAGTACAACGATGGACATGCAGTAAGCACTAAGATAACACTGATGAATGAAAATCACTACTCAGCTGAGGATTCGGACACCTTAAAAGAATTGTTTATGGCCCTAAGCCATAAAGAACTTTAGACGTGTGGTTTAAACCTAGTCAACATTTAAGAGTTCACTTCTGAGCCAACTCTCCCACAAAAAAACAACACAGTGCTACAAAAGGAAGACTTAGAAATGGATCTCACATGAGGGCAATGACTTTTTTAGTTTTGAGGAAGATTGGCCCTGAGCTAACATCTGTTGCCAATCTTCCTCTTTTTTGTCTTTTTTCTCCCCACAGCCCCCAGTACATAGTTGTACGTCCTAGTTGTAGGTCATTCTAGTTCTTCTATGTGGGACGCCGCCTCAGCATGGCTTGATGAGTGGTGAGTAGGTCCGTGCCCAGGATCCGAACCGGTGAACCCTGGGCCAACAAAGTGGAACGTGTGAACTCAACCACTGGGCCACTGGGCCAGCCCCCGGCAATGACATTTTAAATGTAGTAATATAATAATATCATGTTGCCCATACACTGTACCATTTACAAAGTGTGGTTACAGGCAGTACTACACTTGACCGTCATCAGTGACCAGTCAGCATCCCTATGTCACGGACAAAGGAACTGAAGCCCTCACAGAGGCTGAGGTCAATGAAAGCCGTGGCAGAGCTGGGACTATGACCAATGTCTTCCACATGAGCCATTCTCTTCCCACCCCCCAGCTCCCTTCATCATCACCTACACTAGCTGTCTCCACTTTCTCCTCATCCCACTCGGACTTCTATCCCCATCACACCACCGAAACTACTTTGGCAAAGGTCACCAATAACTTCTGCCTCAGGGGAGAATACTTTTAACTTGTAGAAAGGTTGAAATATACAGAAAAGTACAAAGAGAATAAAAATTGCTTAATCTTACAACCTAGGGGACATCACTATTAAAATGTTGGTATGTCTTTATTCCTTTGTACAACCCTATATATACATATATTTTTTAATACAAAAGTATCAGGAACATTCCTCCATGCTCTACATGTCTTGCATAATTTCAACTAATTGCAAAGTATTATTTCATCATATGG